TAGTTAAGTTTTCATGGCTTTGCACAGCTACATATTTTAGCTTTCCTTCGTTGCATTTCCCCTTGCCGCCGCTCTGAATATTTGTGCAGAACCCGTTGGTGCAGTCGCCGTGCTCGCATACTGGATATTAGTGCGCGTGTTGGAAAAGAGCGCAGAGCTGATTGCTGTGCACGGTGCATGATTTCCCAGGAGTGCAGGAATTGGCTAGCGCTATGAAGGATTTGTGGTACGCGATCGAGCCGACTTTGTGCACAATGAAGGTCCACGTGAGTGTCGTTGTGTTCCTCATAATGTAGAAAGGTCTTTGGATGTAGGTTTGATAGATGTAATATATGGGAGAGTGACAGTTATGAACCTTCAAAATGTATCGAATCTCCAGTGTCTCGTCGACCACGCGATCCTGGAGGACCTGTATGACATAGGGACGCCTTATCACTGGTCAGCTAGTTCGTTCGAGAGTATGCAAGACATCTGCATCGCGCAGTGTACCGTTGAAGACGCTCTTATTGGAAAGTATGCCTTCATTGGAGTCTTTCTGTTTGTAACAACGTGCACTGAAAAAAACTACAAATTTTAGTTTCCTTCTCCGCAAAGAGGCAGTGGAATCAGTTGGTGAAAGAGACAGAGCAAATTAGCAATGAGTACTTGGACCGTCTGAACGCTAAGATCACAGCAGGCGATAATCTTAGGTAACATAAACACAACTGCTTGTGGCAATGGTAGGTAAAGTTATATGCATCATTCATCAGGACTTGCTCGCATAACACTCTCCTTGATAACGATTGGCACGTGCCGGACTCGTGTATTTTGGGGCGGCAGGATCTGCTGAATGAGCATCAAGTCTATTGGGACTCACATAGGAATCTCTCCAGATTCAGGTAAGATGGTGCAGGGTATGGAAAACCACAAGGGGCTATAAAAACAGTTTCAGTCACCGCTCATGCAAACGGAAATAAGAAGTACTCCTCGGCAGTTTATAAGAAAAAAAACGATGGACACTGTGCAGGAATACGTCTACCTGGAAGTCAATGGGGTTCCCCAATTTGGACAAGTGATCATCTTCGCATTCGATTCTTGGACGAACGAGTGCCGCGTACTGCTGCGGAAGTTTGTGACCGAGGACCCGTTCATAGCACTCGTTCAAGCCCTGGACAGCAGCCAACACAGTGCCACCTACAGAGCACGCTCTGCCCTCTACGATATTCGTCGCTGTAACCGTTTTTTTAGAAAAGTGGTGGCACGGGAGCTCGTTGTATGTAATGCTTATGACATCATGTCTCCAGCTATGCTAATTAACTCGGGATCTGTCTCTTATGTGTCACGAATCTAGTGTTGTTGTGCTACTGAATCGCTAATCCGTTCGGTTAACACAGCCCCATCTGAGCGTTGACACATTGGCGGCATTGCAGTCCTACCCCAGGTTCGGTTTTGGGGTAGAAAATTGAACTTCACTAAGTACTTCATCCTTGGCTTAAAGGGAAAAACTTTGTTTCTTTCAAAACAATCACCAAATAGATTGAAACAATCGGGCCATTCCAACAGTTTAGCATCATGTCCTAAACCTCTTGTACAGACGTCACATTATCGGGTGCTTCTTTCGTGAGTTTTCGTACGTAGACCCTTGTGATTAGGAAAAAGTTCCTCCTGAGGAAGGCACTGTTGCTGATGTGTCAACTCCTTCTTGTACGTATCGCGATCTTCATATTCTCACCTAGTGAATGTAATCTCTCGGGTACTATGGTTTAACCTCGATGTATGTATAAGCTTACGAGTACTCCGCTGTTGCTTTACCCTAAAGGCATGTTGAAGAATTGAAGGAGAGTGTTTCGAGTTTGCTCCGCTTCTGTGTGAAGGTACCTGCCTTGCATATACATCTGCCGCTTTCTAGCTACCATGAAAAAGTGTTTCAGTGATACAGCTTTAGGCGTGAAATGAGTCAATCCCCTGAATACATCCCAAACAGTGATGCGCTGCATATAGCCGAGCCGGAGCTCACATCTGCCGAATGTGTTTCAATAGGATGTGGTAGGAGGAGCTGTAAATTTGTAAAAAGATGTCATCTTGACGTTAAACTCTTATACTCCAGATACAGCTGAACTCCAGAACCTCCGCGATGATCAGTGCAGCTCAAGGTCTCTGACCAATACTATTTCGATCAGTTCGCTCAGAGAATGTACAGTGACCCCTCCATCGCTGGTTCCTTCCGGGTTTATCTCAGCACTCAAGCGGATCCCAGGAGCTCTTCAATACACAAGCCGGAGAACCGATGGCACCGCAAGGTCTAGGGTTCATCGCAACTTTTACACATGAGCTTGCTGATCCACAGTTCGTATTGCAGAAAACGAAGTTTTGGCTACTGGCAATAGGAAGACCCCTCAATAATCAAAGCACGTCTGGAAGTCGAATACCACGTCGTCCGCGATCGTTTCAAGGTTCTCAAGCTCTTCATCATTGTCTGCAAAAACGTTTTAGAGCCTCTGCATTACAGACATTTCTCGTGCGTTGACTCATTTCGGAGAAATCTCGGTGGAGCAGTTGGGCGAAGTTATGTCACACTTTGACATTGGCGACGAGTATGACGTCTGTTTCCTTTGTACTTACGGGGACCGCTTAGGAGTACATAAAGACGGATTTTCTTAAACGTAAAGTGAGAGAGAGCCGTGTCAGCGTGGAAGAGGCTAAACTGCTGCAAGTGGCCGTAGGGAGAATTGCCACAGTCTTCGGATTCCGTCGTTCGCTCTCTGATGGCAGTGACTGCAAGGCAATCAGACGCAATAGTTGGGATGACAGTACTAGTCGGTTATCTTGAAACCATTTAGCACCTTAGAAAATCATCCTCTGGCTTAAATTTGCAGATTGACTCGCTAATGTTGTACACAAAACATTTGCACCGTGAATGTTGCCGCTTAGCGGATGCAGCGTCAAGGCATAGCGACCCAAAACTGCCGGACGGAACTTTTCTGCATGCGCGGAACTTGACTAAGCAGTGGACAGTTGAAGAGTCGTACCCATTTAAGGTAGATCTGATGGTCACATTAAGGTATTTGTAGGTGTGAATTGAAGAATAATAGTGTTCTTTTCATGCTACAAATCTGAATTGCCTGCTAGAACACTGGAAACGTACTCTGAGTGCGCCCAGAAGATCACACGACTCAGTGTACCGACTTTTTTAGGCAGTACTTGACTCAGATAAGTTATTAGGCTAGTGAATACCTCCATCGTCACAATCTTAGTGCTCAGCTAACTTTAGGCGTGCGATCCTGCCCACGTCATTCAAGGGTACACGTACCGGTTGTCAGGTAGATACCAAAGAAAGCCTGATTTGAAGGACCTTCCGAGTGGTGTTGCGGAACCACTAATAGGTCAGGTACAGTAGATCAACTCATCGAAAACACTACCGTAAAAGGTCTAAATTTACTTATCAGGGTGCTGTCTTGATGGCTTAAAATTGGACGCCCCGGAATTGGATGCCGCTCCGGAAGAATTGATTGAAAATCCCACTCGGTGAGACAGACTAGTTGCTAGTGACTGCGTCTTTAATTCAGTTTTTTAGTTTCTGGCTCGATCTTGGGAACAATGATGCGGCAAGAGCTAGAGCGCTCAGGAAGCGCAAGAATCTGCGCATGTCTTGGGAACCACTTTTGCGAGGGGCCCTCGCGCGAGCAATGTAGGTATACGGAACGTTGGGCAATTTTATGATGGAAACAATTTATTCATTGTTTAGGGCGGACATCAGACAACATGTGCTCAAAAAGCAACATGTGCTCAAAAAGCAACA